GTCTTCAAATCTTGGAAACCAAGTCCAGTGGATTGTTTTGAACTTTTACGGAAAGACTAATCTGAAACAAACTTCCAGGAGTGTTGAAACCCTGAGTGGCTTTAAATCAATGATAAGAGCATATTTGTTACGAGCTGCTTTTGACTGTTTCAGTTTGTAGTTGAACCTTTCTTTATCTGCCTGTTATGCTGTTACAGTGTGCCCTTTTCAGTTTTAATTTCTAGTAACTGATATGTGCAACAAATGTGTTTTAAAATAAGCCAAGTCCAATATTTGCACCAGGTTAAATATATTTTTATAATTATTTTTTTAAGAATACAAACTAGAAACATATTTATTTTGATCCTTTAACTCTGGATGTTTGCTTGATTATAAGAGGTTCATTGGTTGGGCTTAATCAGCTATAGAAATAAGAATGCTGCAAAGTTTGGAGGGGGAAATGCTTCAGTAAAAGAAAATATAGATTGACGCACCAAGTAGAGCCTAATTCAATTAGCATGATAAGATATAAACAGTAGGAAATGCTACACATGTATTTTCCCCATGAAGGTGTTTTTGTTTCCTACAGGGACATTTTATTCAAAGAGACGGCACACAATTGACATATTTCTGAGATTTTATTGTTAGCAAAGGGCAACAACAAGGGAGGGAATGTATAAATGCAGGAAGAGAGCAGTTTTTCTTCCTCAATCTTACAACACTAAAGGATTATGTCTAGGTTATGACACAGGTTATATTTACAGTAAAAAAATGTTTAAAGCAGCTTTAAAATCTTAGCTGGAGACCAATAAATGCTATTTCTGGCATAACGAGTCACATGATTCAATGAAAAAAACACAATAAAAGCTTTTGTACAGCTTAAATTGCAGGTTGAGATGCAAGCGTTCAAAAAAACAAACATATGTATAGATTTTGGCTGCAACTAATGACTATTTAAATCGAATGAAATTAAAACAGCTGAAACTAAAACTTTTCCACTTGAGAATTTCTGCATAGAGCAGATTGACAGATGACAAAGTTTTTTTTTCTTGTCTTAGATGCAAAATGTTTATATATATATATATATATATATATATATATATATATATATATATGTATATATATTATTACAGTTTTGACACAAAACAGCTCTAAGGGAAGGTTTCTCTGTCAGTTTTAGAGTCTCCAGTTAACGATTAATCGATTACTAAATTAGATGATTAATTCAATAATTGATTAATCACAATCAATCTTTTCAGCCCTACTTTAGGTGAACTAGATGATAGGAACTGAAAAGCAGTTCCAGCCTAAACAAAATGCTGAAAAATGAAGCTAAATGAGTTCAAACCGAAACTTCTCACACTAAATATCAATGAACCTTAGTAGTTTTCGTTAAAAAACTCACTCGTTAAGGCAGCAACTGCTTACTGGAGATCTGGGGTGAAAACAAACTGGTTAAGCAAGATCTGAGCAGGTATCAGGTCAGCTTCAATAGGGGAACAAGATCAAATGAAACAGCTTCTCTATGCTTGGTTTTGATGAGTTTTAAAAGGAGCAGCATTTTCACTTAGTCACTAAATACACATGGAAGAAATAAGATATTTTCACAGTAAAGTAAACAGCACACTGTTGCAACAGATCCCAAACAGCCAGCCTGAAGCAGCGGCTAAATCTAACATGAAGTCCTTCAATGTTATGAAATTTTGAGAATAAAATTAGGTTGATAGGCTCTGCAGCCTTTATTAGTAGTGGCAACTAGGTTATTGGGCATCACGTGAGACAGGCCACAGTAAAGTGACCCACATGCTGTTTGTCCCTTTTTTACTGTCCGTTTTGCTTTAACCTTTCCAGCCGCTGCAGTAGAGCGTTCCCAAACGCTTCCCTGTATCCTGGACTGAGGTTGTCCAGAAGAGAGTAAACCGTCTCGTGATACTGGGTGTTTAGCTCCTCATTCACCTCATCGAAAGCATAGCCCACCACCTGTTTAGAGAGAACATTAGTTGGTTCTTTAAGAAACTACAAAAAAAAAAACTGTGAATAAGTGTCTCCTACCCTGAGTCCGGCTTCGGTCAGCTCCAGACAATAACGGTTGCCCTCTCTCGTCTCCACATTGATGTACGCCATGTCTAATGCTCTGGCGAGACTTTGGGAGACGTGCATTTCGTTTACAGCAAAGAGAACGTCATTAACGATGGCGTCTGCCTCCAGTCTCATATCCTTGACGTCTCCCAGTTCAACCGAGTCCTCATCGAACGTAGATGTTATGGACTCCTCTGGGGGACAGTCTATCTCCATCTGCAACACAGAGCAGCAGGATTTATATGCACAGCTACAGCTATCTCCCTGCAGTGGAACTTGGCCTTCATGAGTTTTTCTTTTTTGCTATGGAAACCAGAGGCTACTATAAGGGAGCAGCCCGATCTTTAGAAAAGAAAGAGTTGCATGTTCTTTCCCATACCACATGATATGGGTCTCATTTGGCTGAAACAGAAGTGAAACAGACATCTGACTGTTCAGCCTATTTTAAAACACAAACCTCAGGTGCTTCTAAAATGAGGAACTTCTTTGAGTTTAGTTTAGTTGTTGTCTCCTCTCTTTCTGAAATCCCCAAAGAAATAAATCAAAATATTTCCACATTACTGTCATAATATCAAAGCGAAGCAGCACCTCATGCCAACCTTTTTATTTCCCACAGATATTATGATAATAACCACTAATTATTGTAGGGCTTAATCATTAACTTGAGTATAGAGAATCTAAAACGTGACTTTGGCTGATAGAGCAATCCATTTAGAGCAGTAATTATACCAAAATTGTTACAAAATATATATAAATATTTTGCATTTAAGATAAGAAAAAAAACCTTCTCTCCTGTCAATATGCTTTATCCAGATCTCCACAAAAGTTTTAGTTTCACCTGGTTTAATTCTGGTTAAAACCTTCTTAAAGGAACCTTTCTCTATCTGATTATTAATTGAAAAAATAACCGACAGATGAATCGATTATGAAAAGAATCGTTAGTTGCAGCCCTAAATGACAGTAACACCAAACGTACTTTCACACCATTTTAATCAGTTCCTGAACAAGCTGCAACATGTCGGGTCCATTTTCTTTAGGTTGCAGCCTAACCTAACATTTTAGTATGCGTCAGCGGTTGTGAATGGCTTCACATGTGGCTTCATCATAATTGGCTCAGTTGGCTGAGGGACTGCAACAGCAGTGACACTGAACAGCTCATTACTTCCTCATTGAAAAACAGTGAATCAGCCGTTTTATGGGAGGGGAAATAAGCAAAGACTGTAACCACAGCATTAAAAAACTCACCGTGGATCACATGGGAATGAATTACTGACACAAACCTGATCTTTGCTATTGGATTCAGCTTCACACAAAGTTTTTTTTGTTTTTTTTTATATCTTTGAAACAGAAAACAGAGGCTTGAACTTTCACTTGACTCACAGATTTGATAGACTTGGTTATATTTAAAAAGACTCAATGCTTAAAGCTCTGGGGCTGCACAATGGATCTTTTTGCATTGAGTTTGCATGTTCTCCCTTTGTATGTGTGGGTTCTTCCCAGGTACCCTAGCTTCCTTGCACATTCCAAAAACATGACTGTTAGGTTAAATGGCGTCACTAAGGTATCAGTGTGCGTGTGCTTGGTTCTGTGTCTGTGCGACAGACTGCCAACCGGTCCAGGTTTTCTATTATTGGAAGGCGAATTAATTAAAAAGGCGAAGTTACTGCTGTTGTTTCCTGCATAAAACTAGATTACTGACCACAGTTTGGACATTTTGCTTTACTTCCTGCTTAAGCTGGAATTTTGATGCGAAAAGCAAAGGTTTCCAATTTAAAATCCTTATTAGTAGTTGCTATATAAAGGTTACTGAAAGACTTGCATCCGAGCACTTCTGACAGCATTGTCCCTTGGTGTTTGCTTTCTTTAAACACAGATGACTACATTGACACTGACTAGCCGTTTAATAGCAATGTATGCATGCCTGTAATGAAGATAGCTGCTATACTGCATCAAAACTTTTTTCAGATGGTATGACTACAGTCACAGTGCTTGTGTAGGTAGGACACATATATTTTAGTTTTCATAGTTGGTGTTTAAGCTGCCTCGAAGGCCATGAAATTACAAACATTAGGATTCTCCAACATATAAGTACCCCACCTTACATCCATAGACTGATGTAAATAGTCACTGGCCCTGCAATGGCTTAAAGATCTAAATAATGGCTCATAATGAATTTACATTTAAACCATAGAACTTGGACTTGACTTGAGAGTTGGGAAGATAGGACCTGTACCCCCGTCTGTTGCTTCAGCCAGGTCTGACTGAAACATCACATTTAATAAACAAACAACCTTTGCTGAAACTTGCAAAAACCAAAACCAAGATGTTTTTGTACATATTGTCTAAAAAAAAAGTTGTTTTTTAATGGTAATATCTGAAGCTGAATGAAAATAAGTCTGAGTTTGAGCTTTTCTGCAAACAACAGGCAGAATATTCAGTTTCTATTTATGAAAAGCTGGCAAATAACAACCCATAAAAAAACGTACATCACAAATTATCACCCTTTTTAAATTAGGAAAATATTTTTTTTCTACAATGTGTTGCCCCTTTTTTTTTCATCGGCTCTTCATGCCAGTTGATGAAAGACAAACAGCTCATACAAAAATTTGGGTGGCTTTTGGGTGCGACATGACAAACTATAAGAAAAGGGATAAAACTATGCATACTTTCTCTTAAGTCTTTATAACTGGTACAATTTCTAAATTAATATCATTTCAATTTNGAGTAAGGAAGATAAATCTACTGAGTTTCCAGATTTTCTGCTGTCAAATACTGTGCTGGGTGTTACAAACAAAACCAAGTATCTTGGGCACATCATCACAGAAAATCTGTCAGACGATGATGATATTTGCAGACAATGTAGATTGTTGTATGCTCAAGCTAATACCCTTGCTCGTAAATTCGGTTCATGTACTGATAAAGTCAAGGTGGAACTGTTTAATGCATATTGTACCTCTCTGTACACTGCTCACCTGTGGACTACATATAGAAAAGTCAATATTATTTTGTCACTTACTGATACCACACGTAGTGGAATCCGATATCAGTCTAAGCTGTGGAGACACTGATATTCCTGTCTTCTCATAGATCCTATTTAACCGATAATGGTACTTGTATTGTGTTTTTATCATTAACTATTTTTATTTTATTTTTATGTATGTATTTATTGGACCATGAGTCCGGAATAAATAAATAAATAAATAAATAAATAAATAAATAAATAAATAAATAACTTAAGTAAGTAAGTAAGTAAGTAAGTAAGTGAGTTTGAACTTTTGTGCAAACAACAGGCAGAATATTCCCTTTCTATTTATGAAAAGCTGGCAAATACCAACCCATAAAAAACGTACATCACAAATTATCTGCTGATGAAGGTTCTCAGTCATCCAGGTCATAGTCATTCCGTAAAAATTCAAAAAATGTGGCGAAACGTCTTCAAATCTTGAAAACCAAGTCCAGTGGATATTTTTTGAATTTTTACGGAATCACAAATTATCACCCTTTTTCAATTGGGAAAATATTCTTTTTACAATGTGTTGCCCTTTTTTTTTTTTTTCATCAGCTCTTTATGCCAGTTGATGAAAGACATACAGCTCATACAAAAATGGATTGAATCTCCTTTAGCCAAACTATGTGCTGGCCTCTCACAGACATATTCAAATAAACTAAACCAAGGCTTTTGGCTGCAACATGACAAACTATAAGAAAAGGGATAAAACTATGCATACTTTCTCTTAAGTCTTTATAACTGGTACAATTTCTAAATTAATATTATTTCAATTTATCCTAAGTCTTAGATTTTTATTTAAAGAGTGCATGTGCAGACAACCTCCACAAAACACAAATGACAGAGGAGCCATTATATTTGTATATTTTACTAACTTTTGTCAGATAAATTGTACTTTAATCAAAATATAACTTTTGTAGTCTTTATCTCATCTATACTAAATATTGAGTGTTGTAATACTGACATTTTAATTATAAAAAGTAATGTATTTACATAATGTAAATTAATTATAATATTGGATTCTAGGTACAATATACATAAAGAAGGTAATATAGTGTAATTACTACAATACTGTGTGAATCTTCTTAACTAAATGTAATTGATAAAAGCTGAAACAGCGACATCTTGTGGACACTAAAGAAAGAGACGAACATTTGAACACGAGCGTCAATAAAATGAAAATTACTTTATATTTCTTTTAAATTTGCTTTATGAAATGTAGGCATGTAAACTGATCACCTGTTTTCGAATTAAAAGTGGGGCTAACTCCACCATTCAATAGAGGAAAACCTAATAACACTTAAATTGCAATTCTTGCAACTCTCGAGATTTTAAACATGACTATGCTTTCAGTTTAAATAAAATTAAAGAGCTGCGATTTGGTTTGAAGTTGAGAAATCCATTTTTGACTAGGTTAAGTGCGTTTAATCTGCTCACCTCCTCGTTAGTTTTCTTCTTCCGGCTTGTAGAAGCTTCCAGCCCCTCTCTGAGCAGCTCTGAGTGGGGAGGGACCAACACAACCAGTTTCTCCTTAACCTTCAAAATAGTAATTATAACAGCCTGGAGAGAGGGTGAAGTCTCCTTCCACTATTTTGTTATTTTGATAGCGATTATTTACTTCATAAAAGCTCGATAGGAATCTGCATCGGTAAAAAGAACCCCCATGAGCATAACGGTCCCCCCACGATATGACATCATGCTCCAACCGAACCATGAGTGGTTAGAGATTGTGTTGCATTCAAAATCAACCGACAATTAAAGGGAGCGTAAAATAGGAGTTTTAACCAAACAATTAAGATAAAACAAAAAGAGCAGATAACAATTTAAAAACATTTTTATGAAGATCAAACCCTTCTTTTTAATAGTTTATGGCATAAAAACATCTATTTTTGAATTTGAATGTCCTATTTCCCAGGTACCTCTAATGCAGCATCATCCAGTGGTGCGAAGTCATGAAAGTGTTTGTAAACATCTCAGTCAGAAGGTAACTTACCTGCTGATTTAATGTCTTGCTTTTTGTTTTTTTGTAAGTTAAATAAAATCACAGCACGTGTCATATATATGTTTGTGTGAATTGTATATATATAATTAAATGTTCAATGTGAAATGGCTTATAAAGGGATATATTGGATTTTAGCTTAGCTACATTGCTAGCTAGCTCAATGCTATAACCTTAGCTAAACGTTAGCCACCGGATGCTGTAGCTTCTGTATATTCCCTACGCTAAACATCACTACTAACCGGCTAGTTAGCTAAGTCTCTTGACGTCTCTTGCCTTTGTCTGACCGGTATTCGAAACAAATGTCTGGTTGGATAATGACAGCTGGGTTTTTATTAGCAGAGCTAAATCCGACATAGATTTGTTTTCATTCCTGCGACGCTAACAGCGATTTCGCAAGCACATTTATGAGTTTGAGGGGTAGGGGCATACTATGTACACACACACAGAGGTTAAAATGGTTTATTTTTTGTTTGTTTGTTTATAGTCTGCCATATCGCTTTTAATCCGGGACCGTTTATTAATAAAACGTATGTATAAACAGATAAAAAGGGTATTGTTTATGATTTATAAGGCAGGTTAAAACACGTTTTGGTGTCAGATAACAAATGTGTTTTCATTTGTGTAGGTGCAGCAAACTGGAGTCGGATCGATTCCCACACCCATCTCTGAGTGTCAACACATCCTCCAGCGTGTCCCAGGTCTTGGGATGTGAAGGATGTTTGAGCTCACCTTTTTCCAGGACCTTCAAATCGACAGGATGACAGGACTGTAAAATCAGTGATTCCTTCATAGCTTGTATAACAATAACAAAGTCACAAAGCCCCCATTTCATTCCCCCCGCATTATTCCACTACCAAGTTAAGATGCCTTGGCCATTTTCAGAGTCAATCAAAAAGCGAGCCTGCAGGTACCTCCTGCATCGGTACCTGGGCAATTTTCTGCAGGAGAAACTGAGCTTGGATCAGCTCAGCCTTGATCTCTACCAAGGCACTGGGTCACTTGCACAAGTACCACTCGATAAATGGGTATGCATTGTGTGAAATTGACAGTTTTAGGAGCATTTTTTGTTAAAGTGAATAAAAATGGAAACCAGAAATTATTATCTGCAACAATGACTGCAACAGGAACTAAAAATGGTTCCCATCTTGTCTTATAGTCTCTTAATGAGCTCCTGGAGACAGCGGATGCCCCTTTTGAGGTAATCGCAGGGTTCATCCAAACAATATCCTTGACCGTTCCATGGGCTGCGCTACTACAGGAAAACTGTGCCCTGGAGGTGAAGGGTTTGGAGATGGTGCTCAGACCAAGGCCTAGAGTTGGTAAGCAGACTCCTTTTTGTCTGTCTATTGCATATGCCTGATAGAGGAAATATGTTATTGGAAGGGGCTTAATTAAACGGGTTGTTTTCATGTATGAAAATCTTCCTTCAGCATCTGGCACCGAGCCCATGTACTGGTCCAGTTTTATGACAAGCAGCATGCAGCTCGCTAAGGAATGCCTGAGCCAAAAGCTCACAGATGATATGGGAGAAAGCTTTCAGCCTTTCGAAGGATTAGAGAAGTTTGCAGAGACAATAGAAACAGGTATGTTTTCGCTCTATTTTATCTGCATTCATCATTCTCAAGAGAAAAATTCAATAACAAGGATGTACTTTTTTTTTTTTTTTTGTGGCTTTCCTTCAGTTCTGCGACGAGTCAAAGTGACATTTTTGGATACGGTTTTGCGAGTTGAACACATTCCAGAAAATTCTAAAACTGGAATTGCAATTGAAATTAGAATTGGAAAGTAAGTACCGGTAGCTGTGTTGATGACACACAAGGATAGAGAAGTGTCCTTAAGAGTATCTATATCCAGAGGTGGATAACTGAGGTCTAGAAAGCGAAAAGCATCACAGAGATTAGTTCCAATTATTTGTGTTTCCAGCTCCTCAACACAGACTGGGAATTAATCACCTGGTGTAGTGAAGAAGATGAAGGGAATCTATGCATTGTTTCAACTTTGGGACCTGGATTATCCACCTCTGTCTAAATCAGATTACAACCACTTTATCATAATATATTTTTTCATATAAGAGACCAACAGAAAGTGTGTAACTGTGTTCTTGAAGGAAAATGATACATGTCCTTAAGAGTTTGTATAAATTGTTGTAAAAGCTTTGCACATTCAGAGATTTTTTTTTGTCCATTCAAATTGAAGTGTCATCAGGGTAACTGACTGATTTTAACACAAAATTTATACTTAATGAAACCCTGTGTGGTTTTTAGGGCTCATTTGGTATATTTAGGGCCATAGTCCTGCATTTTTATCTTCTAAAGTTTATCTGTCCTTAGCTGTCTTATAATGAATTCTGAATAGTTTCCCTGTCCCTACTGAAACATAATAAAATAAAGCATCCCTCAGGATGATGCTGCCACCGCCGTGGGTTTTCTCTAAATGTTGAGTTTTGCCTTTGGGCTGAAAAGTTCCTGACTTGAACACTTTTTCCATATATTTGCTGTTGCATACTTGGCTTGTCGTAAAGATTAAAACCTACTTCTCGTGATGTTGTGTTAACAATGGATTTTTTTCTTGCTACTCTAGATTGAGACCAGATGTGTGGAGTAGATGTTTAACAGTTTGATCTGGATCTCTGAAGCTCCTTTCGAGTCAGCATAGCCCACGTAGCTGCTTATTTTATGAATGCCCTCCCTGCCCAGCTTCTAAGTATACATGGCTCAGAGTATCGTCATTGATTTGGATTGAGCAGAGCTTTCTGAGCTGTTAAAAATCCTAATGTCCCTTGAATGCATTTCGTTGCACAGGGTTTTATTTGGGCGGCATTGGTGTACAGGTGGATGGAGAAATATTCATGCCGCTCTAGATTTTTATAGCAAATTGGTGTTTTAAACTCTGTATCATTTTCCTTCCATCTCTTTTTGGGAACAATTAATTTTGGACCCTTACACTTAGACAACTTTTATTGTCATTTTGTATACAGAGTGTATGCAAAACAAAATTTCATTTTGTACAGCTTTCAGATCATTTCCATTCTATAAAGTGTGGACATCAGACGCATGTTAAAGGCTAATGTTCAAGGGGTGTAAACACTTGATAAATGTACACAGCATGAATTATGTTAAATTATATCCTGAACGTTAGACAGCCGGTCTTTCTTTGACTCGATTTTGTAATTGTGTGCAGAATTGTGTACTGCGATGAAACGGGGGAAGAGACCCCAAGTGTGAATGTGCATCAGCCAACCACTTTCGCACATAAAAACATGCAGATGGAAGGAATCACTGTTTTCTGGGATGAGTTCTCTGTCATGTCTCGCGATGGCAGATCCTCACCCACCCCTTCGGTTGGTGTCTACAGTATTTCAGATACTAGAGAGTTGCCCATAAACAATGTTTTAACACACAAATCTTTTATTTTGAAGGAAACCGAGCCAAAACTCTCCCCCAGCTGGAATCCTAAAATTATATGTGAGCCCCATCCACAGTTTACAGAGCCGCTGTCCTCCACAGCTCCCTTTGAGACGGTGCAAGTTGGAAGCCTTAGTGGTAAAATTGAGCTGTCCCTCACTCTGAAAAACAACCTTGCTCTGCCTGGTGCAAAGGTAAAAGAACTAAACTCTGTATTGAAAAGAGTAGAGATGTACTTTTTTGTCACAAGTGTAAAACTAATACTTCTGTTTTTCTGGTATTGCTTCCTAGCTGGATGTTGTTGGACACATTGATTCGTTACTTATTCTGCTGTCCCCACGACAAGTCCACCTACTCTTAGATTTATTTGGAGCTTTTTCTGGTGGAGGTGAGAATCAGATGTTTAAAAAACAAATGAGACCCCTTTTTATGGTGTCATCTGGAAATAACAGAGCCTGTTCGTCTCATTAAAGGGGCACGAGAATGGAACAAGGACAGAAAAAACCGTCCCATGCAACAAGAAGACGAGTATCGTCTCCATTTGGAACTGAACCGGTGTCTAAAGAGAGACAACTGCATTCCAGGCGCAGACCCAGAACTCTTTGACAGCCAGACAACCAGAACGGTGTCAAGTCGAGGTTTGGATGAAACACTTGTTCTGTGGCATTGTTATACAGCATGAACTGGATGATCCACCTTCGCTTTTAATCACATTGAATGAAAGTCACACTAGTGTTTATTTTGGATGTTGCATCACATTTCACCTCATATTTATAGTCAGAAGGTAGAACATACCATTTATAAAGTTACGCTGGATGGCTCTTTGTAAGTGAGCCTGAAAACAGAAACTATGCATTGTGTTTAACTGTATTATTTTTTTCTTTTGAAGATGATGTGTTCTTCTCCATGGCTGACATGGACATGTCGCACAGCTTATCATCCCTTCCTCCTCTTGGAGAACCGCCCACTGTCGACTTGGACTTGTCTCTAAACAGCAACTACTCTGCCTCACCTGGAGAGTCTCCATCTGGAAATGCAACAGTGAGCCCCCCCCTCAAATAAATCTTCTTTATTGATTAATTTGCAGTTTTAAACTTTTTGAAACAGTTTTAAACTAAAGGGCTCTCCTCTAAGAAGGTATCTGTTTCTATACAAACTCAAAGAAAAGAAAATGTTCATAACAAAACCTTAGTAGTAACTTGTGAGATTCATCTTTGAAATTTTAAGATTTGTAGAACTTAATGGTTTCAAAATCCACATTTTTCTAATTAGTTTTATATTTGTATACAAATCCCCTTTGCAGTACAGCTTAAAGGCTGATTTATACTCAGAAACCAGGTGGTCTGCGTGTGTGTCGCAGTGAACACAGATGTCCTTCCGCCCCTTCCACAGACACTCTGGTGCACTTCTCCAAAATTGTAGATGACCAAAGACATTGCCGCAGACAGGCGGCCTCTGATTGGTCAATTCTCCATCCACTCTACACTATGCGTATTTCCTGTTTGGTACCTTACCGACTTGTTTTGTTTGTATGACCACCATTGCAGTAAACAACTCTTAAAGTTTGACCAGCTAGAAGAGCGAGGTTTGCGGGAACGCTGGGACCATTTTTCCACCTGGGTCCTTGCTCTTTTTCACCCTCATGTCCCTTGTTGTCGCTCAGACTTGCCCCCACTTCCTCACCGCCTCGGCCGTATCTAGACCCACAGCTGGTTCAGGATTATCTCTCTTGTGTTGTGGCGTGGAATAACATAGCACAGACCACCCTTCAATGTTAGTTATAATTCAAAAATATCTGCGACAATCTCACTGTAACACACTGCTGTGGTTACGGCCAGAAAATGGTGTAAATAAAGTTCATACTGTTTGTAATCCCTCCTCCATCCAGTAAAGGCCACAGTGCCCATCTTATTGAAGTTAAAGCCTACTTTATTGTTTTTATTAACATTTTCTCAGTGAGTTATTGACATGTTTAATTGTCCTGTATTTGAAGGCTCTGTGGGAGGACTATATGGACGTACCGCGACAAACAGAGAAGCGGACTAATGAATCCTCAGCCCAGTCGCGGGACTCGCAGCTCCCTCAGAAACTGCTGAGACAAACCTGTAAGCACTTCTCTAAACTGATAGCTAATCTACCTGGACTTATAACAGCTGTCTGTCAGTGGTTTGGTGCTGTTGGAATACATTTTTATTGTTTTCCTTTAAGCCCATTCTACCAAAACACACGGGGATGAGTCGAGGCCAGAGTTGGTGCTGAAGCTGTCGCTAAGGGGCTTTGCTGTCTCTGTCCTCCACATTGACCCCCTGCCACCGCCACACGCAGCCCCCGGTCCTGTTGGACCTGTTGCCGGACAGTTCTTCAGCACACAGGGTCCAGGCCAGCTTTCTCCAGATGCTTTCCTTCAGTCTCGCTCAATGTTTGATCAGGCGTGCCCCCATGATCATTTGAGGTAAACACAGTTTGCGGGTATTTTTAACAGTTTGAAATGCTTTCTTTCTTTCTCGACTAAGCCAGTATCTGTTAAAATAACACGGGCCATTGATTACAGGTTTGTCGGTCAGGGTTTGAAGATAAACTATGAGCACTGTCAGGGATCAAACATTCGGACTTTCAGGACTGACATCTCTCTAAACCAGATGGAGTTCGTAGAGTGTCTGTTCCCTTCTGAAGCTGCTGTTGGCGGCAGCCAAAGGGGAATCCAGTACACCGAGGTCAGTGTTTCGCTTTTCTTTCTCTGTTGTTTCAACGCTGCCTCTCCAGTACAGATAAAAAGTCCTTTTTCTTTTCAAAACTCCCATCCTGTCACATTTCAGCTCCTTACATTTGAGACCCCAGCCAGTGAGGATTCATCTGTCTCCACCTGCCTTCACCTGCTCTACAAGCTAGCAGAACGCAGAGGTCCTCAGGTGACTACCTTTGAATCGCAAAAGAAAAAAACACATTAGTATGATACCTTTTCTACATGGCTCACGCTCTTCCCGTCTCCTTTTCAGGCAGGTCAAGTGCGTCTCAGCACAATACCGAGGAAAGCCGAGATCCGGGTGGAGCTGGGCCCTGTTCGCTCCGAACTGGACATCAGCATCGTGGACCGTCTCAACTCTCTGCTGCAGCCTCAAAAATTAGCTTCCACTGAGATGATGGCCTCCCACTTATATACATCTTACAACAAACACCTCAGTTTGGTAGGCTGATAATATTTATTCAAATGTTTCCCCTTCAAAGTCCCTCTCATGTTAATCTAAGCTGGTTGGAAAACCACAGAACTTTCTGTGCCACCGACGCATGGTTGGCCTTACAGCTGTGTTGTTGTTATCGCAGTAAGCCGAACAGTTTAGCTGTAACCAGATATAAAGCTATTGGCTTCAGTAGCCACATACCTACAGTTTTCTACAAACAGAACAGTTTTGTTTGTTTTTTGTGGAGGTCTATGACATAGAAGAGCCAGAAAAGAAAACCCTTGTCAGAAGAGGAAGGAAAAGAAAAGGAGAATCAGAGAAGGACAGGGCTCCAACAAGAGTGAATTAGGGAAAGGCATTTACTGTTTTTTGCAAGACCTTAAACAAAAACAAGGATGCATAACTGTTGCAGACCTGGCATTGTTGTTGTCGGACTTTTAAATCCTATGTGCTTACCTCTGTCAGTGTTACTGTTGTGACTTGAGAGTGATCGATTGATATTTAACTTGCCTAATGAGAGCAATTAAAAATCTGTTTTGAGGCAATATGCTGATGAAGATTCTCAGTCATCCAGGTCATAGTCATTCTGTAAAAGTTTAAAAACAATCCACTGGACTTGGTTTCCAAGGTTTGAAGACGTTTCGCTTCCCCTCCAGGAAGCTTTCTCATTTGAATTGAGAAGGGAAGCGAAGCGAAACGTCTTCAAACCTTGGAAACCAAGTTTAGTGGATTGTTTTTAAACATTTACGGAATGTTTTAAGGCAGACATACACTTCACTGACTTGGAGAAAAGTAGCAATTTGCAGTAAAAAAGGCAACTGTACACTAATTTACATTAGATAATACTGCTGTTTTTAAAAGGTCTCTTAATGAGACCACCAGTAAAAAAATACTTAGTGCTTCATTAACTGATTGTTTTCTGTTTTTTTTTTATTTTATCCCATTTTTATCTGATCCTACAATAGAAATGGGTGCTTGTATTAAATAATGTAAATAAATGTGAAATAAATATGGTTATTTTACCATCCTTATTCCTGCAACAGAGTAAAAGGGCTGCGTAAACATCAAATTTTGTGGTTTTTATCCTATTTTATATTTTTTATCTTTGCTATCGGACAGGTAAATTTCCCCTATCAGGGATTCATAAAGTGTCTGTCTGTCTGTCTGTCTCTTTCACTGATAATGAAATAAGCTGTTGTTAGTCATGTCAACTGATGTTATTATCCACATTTCAACTTTACTGACTTGGTGACGTAGAGTGCAAAAAAATTCCTCCCCCAATTTCTTTTATCTTAATGTGTCCCTAATACTCCTAACATTCCAAGCCAGCAAAACATTCAAATTGCATTCCAGGCTTTTCCAGAAGCTGACCCTCAACAGCACCTCTATACGACTGGGTTTTTATTCATTCTTTTATATTCATTTGAACGAGGGCGTTTGTTCAGAAGCTTCTATTTCTTTATTTTTTTTCAGCACAAAGCCTTTGCAGAGGTTTTCCTAGATGACACCCACACACCCTCCAACTGTCACACATCAGTGACAGTCAGTGCTCCGGTGCTCGGCCTCACTGTGCTCTTCCCGATCCCCGACCTGCGTTCAGATCAGGAGAGAGGGCCCTGGTTCAAGAAGTCCCTGCAGAAAGAAGTGCTTTTTCTTGAGTTGGAGGAACTGGAAATGAAAACCGAGTTTGTTGGTGGAAACTCACCCAACCAAACCAAAATGGAGCTCACCTTCAAGGAGCTCACTGGTACATCTGTCAGACTTCCACTTGAAGAAAGAAAATATGATCGCAGGACTTATGCTGACTTTTTTCTTCTTTTTGATGCAGGAAAGTTCAAGGAGGAGCCAGATCAACCCGCTGCTCGTTTCATCAGAGTGTCCCACAACATGGAAGGAGATATGATGACATCAGAGAGTGTGAAATTTGATTGGCCGAGGTACATCCATGCAGCAGGCGGAGAACTCCATTGGGCTCTGACTTGAAGTGATAGATCGTTTCTTCTGAGCAGGGTTGTCCTAAAGATAAATCCCACCACGGTCCACTCGATCCTGGAGCGTGCTACTGCTGAAGATGACGAGGGGGCCGAAGACCATTCACTTGAGGAAGAGGAGGAGGAGGGGGCCGCTCATTCATTGAAGGATGTGTGTGACTTTGGTAAACCAGAGCCGTCACCTTTTTCTTCTCGGAGGGTTATGTATGAAAACGAGGAGGTGAGTCGTAAGTGAAACGTAATGCATCATAATCCTTACATTTAATCCGAACATTTTACACTCATGTCATCATGTTTCCGTTTCCCCCTTTTTTCTACATTAGCAAAATAAACTGAAATGTTTCTTTGATTGTCTCCCTCCATATTCTCTTAGGGAAAGGCACTGTCTTCATAGATGACTTTGTTAGTAAAAAGAGTTGATGTATGATGGTTCCAGAGGATTGTTGGAGAGTGTTGGTAAACAAAAGATATGAAGAAAAATAAAAATAAAACAGTGGACATGTCAGGGAGAAGGTTGTGGAGGCAATCGAAGCAGGGAGGGATAAGCTTTAGTCTCCCATGCGGTAACATTCAACCTACAATCTGATAATAGATAAAAAAATGGGCAGTCTAGTAAAATAACTTCTTAAACGTTGAATAATAATGAAAATTAAGAGGAGGTTCGCCTTCCAGTAGGAAACATGCAGCCTCAGATAAAACTGAATGGTTTAGAGTGGTTTTAAAGATGTACTTTATGAGTACTGAGTCAGAAGAAGGACTACAATACTGACCTATGAAGTAGTTGCAAGTGTGATTAAAAAAGAGGATCAACCGAATAAAATAGCAGAATAAAATTTTAGCTAGGAGTCTTCAACATCACCACTAGGGGTCATGTCAGTCTCCATCTAAGGTCATAATTTTTCATCTTTAGAGAGATATCATATGTACTAAAAGACATAATTTTTGTATTTAATGAAGAATTTTTTTTATCAGAGTTAGATTTAAGTAAAAAAAAGAGTTAATCTGTAACTTTTCTTCTCAGACAGAAATAAGAGGCTCCATTTCTTCTGTTAACAATCTGTTTTTTGTTGTAGATAACTAAATGCCATGGCTGAATTTACCTTTTTATTAGATGTACACATCATATAGCCATGACTGATTAATCTACGTTATTTTGAAAGATCACATAAGTGAAATTGGTCAGAAAAAGGTGAGCAGGGAGCAGCTGACAAGGTCTAACACATCCTACATGTACATGAATATGAGGCTTGAGGCACAAGCCTCTATATAAAGAATGTTTAAACCAGCAGACTCTTTTATTTAAAGTAACATATCAAATATACTTTTTATAATCTTTTACATTTTCCCTTAAAACCGTTTCATTTAATTATTTGCAGCCAAAGATATGGTATTAATATTTGACGGACAGGTGTGCTTTATCCAGGTGCAGAAAATTTGCATCCAGGAGCGAGAACCTTCCCTGGTCAAAGTATTGACTTTGACTTTGTTTGACTGATGAATCCTTAGGCAAATAAAAGATCAATGTTTTGCAAAGCTCCGAGCTGTGGACAAAACAGGTGGTTAGAAGGTGTTTGTGTTCCCCTGTTTGCAGATGATCATTCCTGGCGATGTTGGTGAGATGACAGAGTTCCAGGAAAAAACCATGAACAACTCTCGATTCTTCCTGGAGCTGTGTTTCCCTAATGTGCAACTGGCGCTGCCCGGCAAGGCTTTCTATGAAAAACTACACAACAGGTTCATCATTTACTATCAGGATTTAGATTAAATAAACACAACAACATGATGGAAATGTCTAATAAAACAGTGGTATTTTTTTTTATCTGATATTTAAAACATGTTGCATTAATCCCATTGTGAATGAAGGGTTTTCTAGTTACACATTCAGTGCTGGCAACATTTTACTGATAACAGGATGTGTAAGAAGATTTCAAATATAACAACCATTAGGAGGTTTGTAAATCCTTATCTACTCATTCATTCAGTGTGGATTCCCATCTTCTGATGTCTTTTGCTAAAGGGACATTTAGTCTTCTGTATGTTTCTAAGGTTAGAGTTTAGAGTCCTGGATCCTCTCCAATCTCGAGGACTAATGGGGCTGTTTTGAGTATGTAAAAAAACTTTTTTATTTTAAAGATCATCATCCCACTAAAAGAGCAAATGTTCTTTCCCTTAACACTTTCTGGCAGTGTTTTTTGTGGATTGCATTATTTGTTTATTTTCTTTCAGATTTTCAATTTATAAAACATGTTATTCTTTCCCAAAAATGATTGATCAAAATTCACTCCATGCCCTGTTTCTATTTTGTATCAAAAGCCACTAGATGGACATTTAAAACATCTATCCAGGTTCACTATGTGTTCAGACAAAAAATGCACTCACAGCATCACACATCCTCCACCTGCGGGTGTGGGAAAAAAATGGACTTGGCGATATAAATTGTGATTTTTTTGGTGCCTATAATATCAATCTTTCTGTTCGTAATATTGTTTAAAAAACAAAAACAAAACATTTTTACCGAAAATATTGAAGGAAAATGGGCTACCTCTGCACCGCCACTCTGGCAGATGGCGCTGTGGGGCCCTTTAGCTTTGCAGCGCAGTGCCATATCTGTAGCTCAGGCAGTTACAGTGGAAGATGTGGACTGACTGTCACTGCCCGATCCGTCTCGGAAGCACTATCCATCCTGCGCATACCTGAACTGAATAACTTCCGTTTAGGCAATAATTTTTTTTTTCTTTTTGTATTTGCATAAATATTGCATATTCTAAAAACGGAAAAAAAGCAATATATAAATAAAAGAAATCCTTAACATTTTCTAACGTCACTGTGACTGCTCTGAGCATGTCCGTTGATGACGTCACGCAATACAATGGACCGAATGTAAAACGTATTAATTTCTTCCAGAAAAGTCTTCTATATTTTCTAAACAATGTAGTTTAGCATTCTTTAATGTTTTAAGTATATAAATAAGTATTTTCTGTACCGTTATTCTATAGTTTTCAGTGACCCCGATTTATTATTCTGTAGGCTCATGTGCAGGACAGATCGTGCTTCCTGGACGGATCGGTTGTGACACTGACTCAAAACCCAAACAACATGGATACCAAAATAACTGAGCAATCAATACCTTCTGTTGAACATTTACAGAACTTCCTTTTTTTAATTAGACATTTAATTTTGATAGCTGGGTAAAATTTCACAATAGATAGTAATATTGCAATATCGGGATAACATTTTAATATTGTGACACACGTATCATATCGCAACACCCATACAAATATTCTCCCCTAATTAAAAGCGTCCACAGCTTACTTTTATACCAATCTTTTGTTTCACGCCAAAACAGCTTCATTAAAAATAAATCTCCTCCATGTTTTAGGATAAGCAATGACCTTCTGCTGTGGGAGCCCACGGCCCCGTCCCCTGTGGAGACCGTAGACAACATGCCTTATGGAGTCGGACTCTCAGTTGCCAGTCAGTTGATTAACACTTACTCCAAAGACAGCTTTAGCCAGTTTCGCTCTACTGGGCCTGAAGGTAATATTAAATACCTTAGATGAATTTCCTGTTTCTCATTTAGATTTGTGATGTGAAATTGTATTTAAAGACATTTTTTTTTTCTGTAGATGAGACCAGTGGCTCAGAGGAGGAGAACTTGCATTACTACTGTCCTACCTCAGATATAGGCTACAGATCACGAAAGAAGAAAAAGCCTAAACCCCAGAGCAAGACCTCACAGAGCCTCTTCTCTGTCATCCTTAATGTCAATCATGGCTTAGTGGCTCTTCAGACAAACGCTAAGGTAAAATCCGCTAAAAATTCTCCTATGTTCGTCCCAACTTCAAAATAAGTCATTTATATGTTTGTTTACTTTTTAAGAAGGAGGATAAATCTTTACTAAAAAACAAACACGGCGAGTTCTGGATGGAGGTGAAAAATGCCGTTTTGTTCAGCGTCAGTCAATACGAAGGCTTCAAGGACCAACACTACGTCTGCTTTCATACCAGCAGCATCTGTATGTACCACCAAGGTAAGCCACCTCCACTTTTAATAGTTCTCCTTTATCATCAGGACATCTATTGATTATGAATATACATTTATCCTATATACTGATCTACCCAGGACTATTAGATGGAGGCACAAATGTCTTAGACATCAAGCTGCCATGCAGGACACATCCCCACTGGCTGGAGCCGATCATCTACCAATCAGAGACCTCTTCAGAAAGGTCTTCCACTCCCTCGGAGGGTATTGGTCTGGAAGCTCGCAGCATGGTGTCTGTCGCTGTCAAAATCTCATCACAGAGCTCAGAGCGTAACATCAAGGTCAAATATTCTTGTTTGGATTTGCAAGTGGGTTTTTATTAATGAAGGATAAAAAGGAAATCATATTTACTTTTATTTCTTTTTTGCAGTACAACTTAAGAGACTGAATGAAATGTGATTCAGTTATAACTTTGTGATTCAGTTACATTGTTGACTTGATGTTATGTAACCTTTGGGTGGAAAAGCTCTACAATCAATCATCCATAAGCTGGAGGTTAAAGTGGAAGTTATTGAATGTGAATTTAAAAAAGCGCTTAAAACATCTGGAATTCAATTTGCAGAAAGACATTTATATGGGATTAAACTTAAAACAAGAGGATGGTTAATTATGAGTAATAATAATATATAACTTTTGTAATTTGATGTAATGTGACAATATTTTTTGCAGAACACTGAGTGAAGATCCTGGGTTGCATCTTTGGTATTGTTGCTGACTTTAAGCATGTCCCTGCAGGAGTTCCTGGTTGCTGTTGGAGTGAGAGGAGCCACACTGCAGCACAGGGTGGTCCCACCCAATCTGGGCTGGTATGATCAGGTAGAACAAGCTGCTTGGTGTTCCTAAAGGCCGATATGTTCACAGATACCTTATAACCTACAGACTTTAAACATTTTCTCATGTTTTGGTGCAACAGATCGTTGACTTTCTGAATGTTTCTGCTGAGCCTGTATTGGGTTACGCCCCTCCCCTCTCTGTCACCACTCTGCATTTACATCTTTGGAGCTGCTCATTAGACTACAGGTAAGCAGATCTCAGCAACATCTAATAAAGATTTGTTCATTACTATTTTTAATGGAAATTAAAGTTATCTGTTGTCTTGTCAGACCTCTCTACCTGCCGCTCAGATCTTTGGTGTTTGTAGAAACATTTAGCATCTCCAGCAGCGTCTCCTTAGACAATTCATCCTCAACCTTAAGGTTTGACTGTTTTATTAGTAATTGGAAAGATTTTATTTTAAATCAGTTTTAATATGTTTTAATTTTATAAAGTTTTCCTTGCAGGATAATTTTGGACGAAGCTGCTCTTTTCCTTTCTGACAAGAATAATGCTGTTTCTGTTAATCTAGCACGTGGTGAGTTGACTTTTTGGGCAACATTTTGGGTGGCTTCCTTTGGATTTTTTTTTTTTTGCTGTCTGGCTAAATTTTAAGACAACAGATTTATGGAAAAATATATGAATTTCAATACGTTATTTCCATTCCAACTGTCTCCATCCATCCATCCATCCATCCATCCATCCATCCATCCATCCATCCATCCATCCATCCATCCATCCATCCATCCATCCATCCATCCGTAGCTTATTTAAAATATTTTAAATTAGATGTTTGACTGTGTTTTATGTAAAGATTTTGTCATTGTTTTCTTCATTTAAAAGACTACGTCAAGGTTGTAGACATGGGCACTCTGGAGTTGAGGATTACGGCTGTCAAACCGGGACCAGATGGGAAACTGGTAGGTTTGTTTTCCAACTCCGAATGAGATTTCTCACTGCAGTGATATTTTATTTGGTTTTGTTTGTTTGGCCGATAGTCTGAGCCCAGATTTGAGCTGCGCTGCTCCAGTGACGTGATTCACATTAGAACGTGTTCCGACTCCTGCGCTGCGCTGATGAACCTCATCCAGTATGTGGCCAGCTATGGAGACCTAATGCCCCCAGAGGAACCAGAAACCAAGCGCAGCAGCACCACACAGAAAAACAAGGTCAGATATAACCTTTGAGTTATTGCTATTAAAAAAAAACACTCTCAAAAAACAAAGTTTAATGTTTTTTATTTTTTTATTATTTTGACAGGCAGAGGTTCCCAGCAGGCCGACATCTCAAATCTCGCTGCTAGCTGAGAACGAGCAGCAGATGCTGCAGGACCTGATGAGTGAAGCTATGGAGGAGTCTGACGGGCAACAGGCGCCTTGCCCACAACAAAACGGTACAGACCTCCCTCAGTTAAGGAGAACCTACCTAACTATGCACTGCTTTACTTCTGATATTAAATTATGTAATAAATAATTATTCTCAGTTTTGGTAATGGGGGTAGTTTTATTTTAAAAATTAAATGTGTAAAAGTTTATGTTTTAAATTTCAAATAAACAGTTATCTTCCCAGCAGTTTTTATGGTACCTTTAGGGCATAATATTTTAAACCATTGAACTTCTTCATCTATTGTCATATGAAAACCACAAATATCAGATGATTTCATTGGGAAATAATTCACTAGACCAGGACCACATATTTGTGCTTTGGATAATTTTATTTATTTATTTTTTTAATAAATAGGGTGACTTCTGAAAACAGTTTGGATGAAGTACCAAAACTACCGGATCAACCTAAATACAAACACTTTTAAAGTGTGAAAGTATAAAAATGGTGGAAACCCATCATCCTTTTTCTTTCACTTTACAGTTGTGCAGTTTTGTGTTCATCATTGCAAACATTCCCTATAAAACTAATTTAAGTTATTTATTTTGCAGTATACACATTTTTTTCTCCAATTAAATCAGGTCAACTTCCTTGTTTAGAATCATAGAAAAATAGAAAATCAGCAGCTGCTTTAATAGCAGTTTGACTGGAGAGGTTAGAATAGTTTGATGAATCCATGTTTGTTTGTATTTCTCATCATATGTAGGATCCCATGAGGAGCAGATGCAGGACCATGACCCGCCTCGCTCAGACCTCTTCCTCTTCCCTGATGAGAGTGGGAATTTAAGCCAAGATGCAAGCCCCACCTACCCAGTCCTTGCCTCTCCCCTCATCACGCCTGCCCCCAACCTTGCCCAAGAGACGGATGACTTTTGCATCATCGATACTCCTGATTCCAGAGGAGAGGTAGAGGATTACTGACTCAATTATATGATTTTATAAATTAAAAATATGATGCTTTAATTAAGAGGTGTGTTACAGGATCAGGACCAGGAACCTAGGGTAAAGCTGCTTACCTCAGATCCAGTGGAAATCAAAAACAATCACTTCAGTGAGCCTTTGGAAGGAAATGATTCCAGTCGGGGAGCCATGAATTTTCCCATCCCAGAGGTCCGCTATCTCATCAGGGAGATATCCGTTATCTGGCATCTTTATGGAGGAAAAGACTTTGGGAGTGCAGCATTCATTGCCTCTCCTGCTAGAAGCCGGGGGTGAGCCATTTTTTCTAGTTTCTCTTAAACTTGCATTAAGGTAAACAAATTCTCTAAGCTTTTTGTCCCTCCCTGTTTGCCTTAGATCTACTCCTCATGGCTCTCCATCTCAAACACCAGTTAGACAAGTGAAGAGTTTGGGGCGGATCGGAGGTGGAAGAGGAAGGAACCCTGATGTCCTGATGGAAATCCAACTCAGCAAGGTTTTTTTCCTTATTTATCAATAATTGTTCATTATAGAAATGAAAGATAGGAAAATGTGAGGCTGATTATTAATTTTTCTGGCCTATTGATACAGATTTGACAGATTTGTGTGTTTTTTCTTAAGAATTACAACTAGCAACACATTTCATTATAAATTGATTACCATTTTGAACCTGTTCAAGGTTCCCGCGGGTCCTTAAAAAGTCTTAAAAGGCATTGAATTCTTCAAAATAAAACTAAGGCCTTA